GTTGTAATTAGTTAGTACAAGCGAGAAGGAAAATAAATTTGCGTAAGTGTAAGCATCATCAAAGGACAAAAAAATACATAATCACGACATGTATAATATCATACCAAGACATGATTATATATAAGTAAGCACATTCATAAAGTCAAGAGCACGAAACATCAATGTAAACAAAATTTCCAGATTCAAAGTCATTTAAAGATCAAGATTAAAAGAACCATTTTAGATTTTTCCCAAACCTAGCCTTCCTATGGTTCGTAGAGAATTTTATTTAGTTTTCAGAGCATTTTTCAGAAAAGGAATAGATTTTCCAAATTTTTAGTTATTTCAAAAATACTCCAGCTTTGTCTAGATTCATCGACTGTTACTAAAATCGGATGTTATCTCAAACCGCTGACTCTTTTTCAATGAAACCAATTTTCCTTGAAATATAACTCCTTAAAGAATATTTTGACATAAAAATGAGGTCCAAAATATTTTTTTACATTTTTCTATAAGTTTCCAAAGTTGGCTGTAAAATAGATTTTTCTAGCACAGTTTTTGAAATAAGAAAGTTGGTGAGAAAAGAGGTCAACTAAGGGAAATTTTCCAATTCTCTTGTGATGAAAACATGCTAAATAATATGTATTAAACTCATAAATTTAAGGTGAAGGTGTGCCTTTGGAAATTTTGAGAAATTGATATGGAAAAAGGTAGTCTTATACTGATTATGAGAAATACAAGAAGAGTAGAACCAAGGCTCAACTCCTTTACAAGAATACCATCAAAACACATCTAAAATGAATGTTTAAAACTTATAAGAGCATGTATTTGTAAGGAAAAATAAGAGAGAGTTGTGTTGTGGCTTACTTAAAGCTTGTTGGAATTGCTAGTAAACTTCTCTTCCTCTCCTATCTTCCATCAATCTCACCCTCCTGCCTCTCTTTCTCTCAGCCGAATATAGTGTGCGTGTGTGTGTGTGTGTGTATTCTTGTATGGAAAATGCTAAGGGAAGGGTTGCTTTTATAGAAAAATTGGTGTGAAAGATCCAAAATGCCCTATGGTTGGAATTGAATGGGATGTTTTGGATTTAGTTTGAATCCAATGAAATAGTGGAAGTTTAGAGGCCTTAATTAGGTTCCTAAACATGATCTAATTAGGGTTTTCCTCCGAATCAAACCAACCTAGTTATATATGTACATATATATATATATATATATAAAAGTTTGTACCAAGTCAAAGATATTTTCCACAATTTATGCGAACTTGTCTCAAAAGTACATTCATCATATCTATATAGGTAATGGTTGGCCCTAGACGGTTATTTGAGGGACTTATTTTATTATTTATTTGTATACAAATGTTGGAAATTGTAAAGTATGGTGTATAAAATAGATTTTAGGGTACAAGTGTATATATATAATGGTACTTGTTTGGTGTCAATTTTGTTATTTAATAAAAATGTGAGGGCTTTGGATTTAATTTATGAATTGGAACATTTATTTTAGCATAGAATTAAATTAAATTAGGGTTATAGAATCTAATTTGGTTTGGATTTCTTGTTTCGAATAAAAAGGCGATCAACCGATGAACGTGATAAGGATCGAAAAAACCTAGGGTTTTCAAGTGGTAATTCCATATTTAGGAAGTCAATTAATCAATATTAGGGTATTAAAATTGATTCCTAAGTTACCCAAATCAATTAGGGTTTGTGAGTTTTCAATTGGCGCGTGTTTTCGACTCTATAGCTAAAATTGAAGACAAATAAGGAATCAAGGATCTCTATTGAAATAATTCAAAAATAAGGGTCAAAATAAAATTACAGAGGTTAGGGGCCTCATAGTTAAATAAGTAATATTAGTGTGTAAAAATGATTACTAAGCTATCGGGGTTGATTTGTTTTTCTACGGATTTATTCGCGATGCGTCTTCGATTCTAGGGTTAAATTTGTGAATAAACGAAGAACTAATGGCTTTATTATAATAATTCAAAATTTAGGGACTTAATAGGGCTTACAAAAGTTAGGGTCTCGCAATGCTCATTTGAAAACATAATTAATCCAATGATTTCAATATATAATCAAGGGATGGTAAATATGGCTTACCTAAGTCCTAGATTGGTGTTTGCAAGTAGGCATATCAAGTACTACCAATGCCACTTTAATAGCTCCTAACTGGAAAGAAATTGGAACCTACTTTGCGCATGTTTCTAGATTTTCACCAGGTCAACTACAAGAAAAGTGCGCTTAAAAGACGGAACTTTTTGCGACGGTACAACTTGTCGTCGCAAAAAAATGCGACTTTTTGAGATGGCACAACTTGCCGTCGCAAAAAAATGTGACTTTTTGAGACGACACAACTTGCCAACGTGAAAAATGTGACTGTTTGAGACGGTACAACTTGCCGACGCGAAAAATGTGACTTTTTGCGACGGCACAACTTGCTGTCACAAAAAAATAGAGTATTTGCGACTGCAGAAATTGCTGTCGCAAAAAAAAATAGAGTTTTTGCGACGGCATCAGCTGCAATCGCAAAAAAAAAAAAAAAAAGTTTTTTGCGACTGTAATAGGTACCGTTGCAAAAAAAAAAAAAGTAAATATATATATTGTGGCTTTGAGACGACTTCATATACATATAGTCTCAAAATGATTTAAATAAATGGAACAGTATTTTTCTATCACAAAAAAAAAATTAAAAAAACGACGTCGTCTTACTCTTTTGATATAACATTTCTCTTTTCACCCATTTTTTCATCTTCCTGTCTCTCTGTCTCTATCTCTGTCTCTCTTCTCTTTCTCTCTCTCACTCATCACTCTTCTCTGTCTGTCTGTCTCTCTCTTTCTCTCTGTGTCTCCGTCTCTGTCTCTCTTCTCTTTCTCTCTCTCACTCATCACTCTTCTTTGTCTGTCTGTCTCTCTCTTTCTCTTTGTGTCTCTGTCTCTATCTTTCTTCTCTTTCTCTCTCCCACTCATCACTCTTCTCTGTCTGTCTGTCTGTCTGTCTCTTTCTCTTTGTGTCTCTGTCTCTGTCTCTCTTCTCTTTCTCTCTCTCACTCATCACTCTTCTCTGTCTGTTTGTCTGTCTCTCTCTTTCTCTTTGTGTCTTTCGCCCATCTCTCTTCTCTCTATCTCTATCTCTCTCACACTTATCACTCTTCTCTGTCTGTCTGTCTGTCTCTTTCTCTCTGTGTCTCTCGCCCATCTCTCTTCTCTCTATCTCGCTCATCTCTATTCTCGCTCTCTCACTCATCTCTCTCTGTCTCTGTCTCGTTTATCTCTTTTCGATCTTTTCTCTCTCCCTCTCTCTCTCTTTCTCTCTCTTTCTCTCTCTCTCATCTTTTGTTTCTCTCTTTTTTTTCTCTCTCTCTATCTCTCTCGTTCATCTCTCTTCTCTTTCTGTCTTTTTTTTTTTCTATGTCTCTCTCTCATTAATCTCTTTTCGCTTTTTTTTCTCTCTTTTTGTTTATCTCTTGCTCATCTCTTGTTTCTCTCTGTTTTTATGTCTCTCTCTATCTCTTTCTCTCTCTGTCTTTCGCTCTCTCTCTCTCTCTCACTCATCACTTTTCTCTCTCTCTGTCTGCCTGTCTGTTTATCTGCCTGTCTGTCTCCCTCACTGTGTTCGCCTTGCTCACTATCTCTCTCATCTCTTCTCTATTTATTGAGCTCCCTCTCGATTTATCGATCCACTACAAGAAAATGCACTTTTAGCAACCACTTTGTCACTTTTTCGCTCATCACTCTGTCTCTCTCTCTGTCTCTCTATCTCTCACTCATCTCTCTCTCTTACCACCTATCTCCTCTACTACATTTACTACTACTGCAAATGCCATTCCACTACCACCACTACTACCATTGTTGCCACTCCACCTCTACGACTACCATTACTACCACCATCGCCACCACTCCACTACTACCACTCTACTATCACCACTACCACTACTATTACCATTACCTCTCCTCCACCACTGCCACTCCATCTCCTCTACCACTACCACAACTTCACCACTAATCTCCTTCGCCATCATCACCATCACCACCACCACCACCACCACCACCACCCCCCTTTACCACTACTGCCGCTACCTCTTCTCTATCACAAAAAATTAGCTCTTGATTTTTAGTAACAAAAAAAAAATGGGCGACAAAAAAATATTTTTCATTGACCATAAAAAATTAACTTTATTTTAACGGAAAATATTTTTCATTAAAATATTACCCCAACTTCTACCAAATTAAAAAAAAAATTCATTAAAATAAAAATGAAACAAATAAATTTTCAACCTTAGTAATTAAACAAAAATGAAAAATAAAAAAAAAATTCATAAACTACAAAAAAAAAAAAAAAAAGTTTTTTAACGACGACAACTCCCGTTGCAAAAAAAGTAAAGTTAAACTTTTTTAACGACGACAACTCCCGTTGCAAAAAAAAATAAAGTTAAATGGCGCCGTTTTATTATTTAAATATTCATTTATGACGAATAAAATAAAAATAAATAAATAAAAATAAAATAATACGAGGCCTAGCCCTTTTTTTCCCATTCCCGCTCAGTTTTCCCTCCTTAACCAAAAATCCCCAATCTCAAAAATCAAAAATCCCTAATCTCTTCTTATGGCGCTCTCTCTCTCTGGCGAGCGGCGGCAGACGACTGCCAGTGGCAGGCGACGGCATCGAGCAGCGTCAATCAATAGTGAAGATTTCTTTAAGGGAGAAAGATGGACACAGAGCAGCGTCAATCAATAGTGAAGATTTCTCTTGAACTCATAAACAGGCGCCGCAACCTACCTCCACCACTCACTCCTATCACCTACTACACTCCATCAAACCTACCTCCACCACTCACTCCTCACCTACCTCCACCACTCAGTGCTCACCTACTCCAGAATCATCTCCTATATAATAGGAATTCTTGTACAAAATCAATAAAACAATCTTGTAATTCAATACACATCAATCAATAATAATACATCAATTTATTTTACAAAATTCGTGATCTAGGCTACTGTGTAAATTCATCAAATGAATCAATGGCTACTGTGTAAATTCTTCATCTAGAAGAAAGGGAGGTTCTGAAGTGTTGTTAGGTTTGTAAAAACATGAATCTTGAGATTTTCATACATAAGTACATTGGATTGATTGGATATTGGTCAGTATAATTATGAATTTTTTTTTACTATGCTTATACTTGGTTGATTGGTTGTTTTGTTTTTGTCAGTATAAACATGAATCTTGAGATTGTTTTTTCACTATCCAATCAATCCCCACCGACATGCCTCACCTCTCTCAAGTCCCCGGGATTCTTTCCACTGGTATTTATCCATTTTTTTACTGTTTGGTTTGTTGGAAACACTGGGAAATTATAAAGATTGGGAAAGAAAAAAAACTATTTTGATTTTTTATTTGATGGGATTCGAAATAGGTTGGCAAATAACATTCATGATTCAAACATTCATGTATTTTTATTTTTTTTCTTTTCTTCTTAGTTTTCATATTCTGATTACAGTAATTTTTAAATCAAAATTAATCTTTTATGAACCTAAATGTTTTGAAGTTAACATACAGTATGGTTTTCTGAAATGGGTTATTATTAAGAATATCAGATACAGTATTTGAAAGCAGTTTGGTTAAACATTTACTATGTTGCTTTCATTTTCTTTATTTTTAAGAATACAAAATAATTTTCAAAGACAATACCAAACAGATGATTCTAGATTTAGGAGACATTTGCTAATTGCTATAGTCTCAAAAACTTTAATGTTCTTCAATACTCAAATAATTGGAAATGATGCATAGACATGTTTGGCAGTATATTGTTGAAACTGCTACATTGGTTTTTTGTTTGTTTTCGTATTTTCACTATTAATCTTTATTTTATAGCTAAACTGAAAGCCAGATGAAATGAAGTTTGCTCATTCTTTGTTTGCACTTATGAATCTAACTGCTTTTTGATAAACTTTGTTTACACCTTGCAGGAAATGGAGTTTTCTCATTCTTTGAGGTAGAGCAAAGTGAACCTTAAGATATGCCAGGTGATTTCTTGATTCACATTCAGTTAGCTATTAAGCCACTTGGATCGACTTTAGCTTAAGACTAAATAATTGGACTGGAGCCAATGGAAGGAAGATTGAGTTTTGGTTTTTCAAAGGTTGATGCTCTGATGTTCTTGTCTGTGTACTATACTAGAGGACTTTTGTCCTTGTTCAACTTAGTTCTTCTGATTACATCTAGGAGAGTCTGTTATTTGTTTAATATATGAACTAACATTGTGGTGGACTTCCTAAACACTCACCTGATTTGCTTGCCATTGCTTGGTTTCTTCGTATATGTAATCTTAGAAGTTAGAATTTTATTGGCTAGTGCCCAGTTATTGATTCAGATGGGCACCTTCTTTTAATTTTTATTTATTTATTTATTAGTAGATTAAGATGGGGCTATACAAGGGAAAAGTAAATCATTTTAAAATAATTTAATGGATTATCTGAAAGCTAAATGCCATTTTTCTCCCACTTTTCCCTCCAGTATTCTTATGAGCTTCTGCTGCAATATTTACACAAGACACAATCCATTACAATGCTTGGGATTATTATTGAGCATATTAACTTTCAAGGTGCAGCTCCCTGCTCGTTAATTGCATGTTTTTCATCAAGATAATATTTTTTTCTACTGTATCTTGGTGTTTTAGTTAATTTTTTTCTTTTTCATTGAGCTAATAATACCTCTTTGAAGTTTCTCCTGGACAACCAAGCTCAATTTCTGATGATGAAGGTGTTACACTTGTTGGGAGTGGCCAGGATGCAGCTAATATGATAAATCAGAAAAAAATACACTGGGGGGTAAGTTACTCATATTTATGCAGTGTTTCTTAACGGAAGATTCAAAAGAATTATAGTTTATTTATTATTTGCGTAGCTGCATCTTAGTTGCACGAAGCAGGAGCGGAAGCAGTGGCGGGGGCGGGAGCGGGGACGCGTGAGCTGATAGAAGTTTCTTAGGTTGGGAGCGCCTCGGGGAACGGTAATATATATATATATATATATATTTTTTTTAATACACATTAGAAGTTTTTTTATAAATATTTTTATTTTAATACACATTAATTATTTTTTTAATTTTTTTTTAAATATTTTTATTTTAATAGACATTAATTATTTTATTTATTTATTATATTTTTTAAATAATATGTTATTGTTAATTTTTTTTTAATTGATATATATATTAAAAATCTATATAATAAAGCAGGACGGATTTTGAAAATATGTAAAATGTATCAGAGATACATTTCATTTTAAGGGCTCAGATCAATTGTGATACACATCAATGGTTGAGATTTTGCTTCAATTCCCGCCCAAACACTTGGTGCTCTCTCCCACTTACCCACGTCTCATCCCCCATTCCATCTTTATCTCTTCTCTGTTGCACGTCTTCCCACATTCCCTCCTTATCTCTATCTCCCTCTTTGTTCCTCTTCTTTATCTTTCGCAGAGACGCTACCTCTCTCCTTCTCTCTCACCCGATCTCTGCCTCTCCCCCCACCCTCCCACTCGCTGCCTCTCCTTTTCTTCCTCCTTTTGCAAAGACGCCCTCCCGCTCGCTGCCTCTCCCCCTCCACCCAATTCCGATAATCCAACAGTCACCTCTCCTCCCACCCTCCCGCTCGTTGCCTTTCCCTCTCTACCCAATTCTGAAGATCCAACAATTACTTCTTTCATTTGACGATCCAGATTTTCTCAAAACTTCACTGTTTTGTTAGGTTCGTCGACTGATCAGGTTGATTTATATTTCATTTTTCATTTTTTTATCATTGAGAATGTGTTTTTAACTTCTGATTAAGGGCGTATGATTGTTTATTGATGTTAAGGGTTATGGGTATTGATCTGACGAGAAAAAAATGATTCTTTGTTTGTAATTTTGTTGTGGATTTTCTCAAAACTTCACTGTTTTGTTGGGTTCATCGACTGATCAGGTTGATTTATATTTCATTTTTCATTTTTTTATCATTGAGAATGTGTTTTTAACTTCTGATTAAGGGCGCATGATTGTTTATTTATGTTAAGGGTTATGGGTATTGATCTGACAGGAAAAAAATGATTCTTTGTTTGTAATTTTGTTGTGTGATCTGTTTTTTGGAAGGTTGATGCTAGGTTTGTTGGACATTCATTCTAAATGAGAAATTGATTTTATTTGGTTTAATTATCATGTTTTCTGAGTTCTGAGTTTTGAGTTCGTTTATCAAATCCCTATTTTTCTACTATTTTCTATCACTTTCTCGCGATTTCTTGGGCTGTTCTGCGTTCTCTCTATTGGGCTGTGAACAAGTTATTTTACGGTTGTGAACAGGTTATTCAAATGTTGGTTTCAGGTTATTCAAACAATTTGTTCTTTGTGGCTATCTGTTCAAACCCCAAAACAGAAGATTAATCCCAACTTCTTAGTTGAATGTTTATATAAATTTTCTGAATGTTATGACAACCAAAACTATTCCTTTAACATAAATAGAGTGATACACACAGTGATACACAGAGTGATTAATCTTCAGAATTATTTTGGGATTAATTTTCTGAATGTTTATATAAACAAACCACAAAGAAATAGGTGATGTTATGTTATGATAAACAGAGTGATAAATAAGATTAATCTTCAGAATTATGTAAAAATATTATGTTATGTCAAAGGAATACTTCAAAGTTATGTTATGTTAAAGGAATAGTTTTGGTGGATATAGCAACCATGGTTTAAAGGAATATTATGAAAATATTCAAAATTTGATTTTTTTATTTTGTATTCAAACAATCTGCCTTATTTTTACAATCTGCTTTATTTTTGTATTCAAACAATCTGCTCTATTTTTATTTTGTATATGGAAAGTATTTTTTTTCCAAACTTATAATATGTTAGGTTCTTATTTTGTATTCAAAATATGTTAGCCATCAATATATAAATACAATTAATTAATTAATACCACTAAGAAATTTAATTCACAACCTTAATACAGGCTATTGCAACCAACTCCAAGGTAAGGCTATTCATGCACAATTGCATTAAGTTTGAATTGTGAAAATAAACACCAATTGGTTATTAATGTGTTATTTTTTTGTCTAATCTCTATTTAACTAGGTATAATTTCCTTCTCTTCGGCTCCACTTCCATTTGTATCATATAAATTTTGTGTGTTTCAAATAAAGACACTTGCCAACATAAAAATATTCATAAACTTAATTTTCAATTTCTTTTCAGATTTTCCCTCTGCTGCTCTCCAGCCCTGTTCTTCTTCTTCCATACCCTCGCTCCCGAAACTACTGCTCTCCAGGTAAGATCACTCTTTTCATTTTATGTGGTGACTATGTACTAGATTTTATTTGTTTATAGATTGTATACATTTTATTTTGATATAGATTGTATAGATTTTATTTGGATATACATTGTATAGATTTTTTTATTTATATATAGATTTTTTACAAAGAATCTGGATTGTATACATTTTGTCACGCCCCCAAACCGCCCCTAGTAGTTTGGTGTCGTGATGGCCAGTAATCCGTGATTACCGAAGGCCAACTTCCAAAATTTTAACACAATCAGAGTATGGAATACGGGGCTTACAAGTGCGGAAGCAATACATATAAATCTAATTAGTCCATAAGAGCTGTGCATAAGTTAAATGAAATGGCATACATCTTTTACATAGCTTTAATACAGAAATTAAGTACAAAATACATCTTGATCAAAAGGCTTCTCAAGCCGACATATACAAATTACACATGAAATATAAGCTAAAAAGCATGATCTTCAAGATGTCACAAAATGATGAATCCAAAACACGTCGGCAATACACTCAAAACACATCGGCAGCACATCTAGGCCTCAATGCCTTCTTGCTCATCACCTACATATATACATAGGGAGGGTGAGCTTGGATACTCAGTGAATGATATTAGAAATAAAGGTTTTGCAGCTAAGGACTTTCAAGACAAGAGTGCAGTTGCATTATAGTCCCCTGCGGCTAAGGACTTTCAAGACAAGAGTGCAGTTGCATTATAGTCCCCTGCAGCTACGGACTTTCAAGACAAGAGTGCAGTTGCATTATAGTCCCCTGCAGCTACGGACTTTCAAGACAAGAGTGCAGTTGCATTATAGTCCCCTGCAGCTACGGACTTTCAAGACAAGAGTGCAGTTGCATTATAGTCCCCTGCAGCTAAGGACTTTCAAGACAAGAGTGCAGTTGCATTATAGTCCCCTGCAACTAAGGACCTTCAAGACATGTCATCAAAACAAGATAGTGTTTGATATACAAATAGGGATAATCATTCATGCTAAATCAAATACTTTTATCAAAACAAGGCAAAGCTTTAACAAGACGTTATAACATAACTTTATTAAAAATACCACTCACATAGCTCTTCAAACGTCGGGGTCGAGACAAGCCCAAGTCCTACAAACACATGGTAAGGCCTATTGAATGCACTTCTCAAAACAAATCTTATATGCATGTAATTGATCTCGGGAAAACATGCTGGAGGCCGAAACACTGTTTTACATGTCAGGAAGACATGCTGGGTACCAACCAGGTCTAAGCCGAGGTCCTACACTTCCTTGCCGAGGTGTTGTCCCCATGGCCTCATTCAAAAGCAAGGTCGGGAAAACCTGGGTTTCCCTTTGAAGAAAATGAAGAACATGATGAACATGATCATGAGAAAGATGGATGCAAGTTCGTAACTTGTTACAAAATCTGGGATTTCATGTCATGAGTTCGAAAACATGGACCTGGGTACCCATACTTGAAAATCATGCAAGAACAAACACAAAAACATGGATCTAGGCATGAGCCTTCGAATCAAAACATGACTTTTCGTCAAGAACACATGAGCACTATTTTCTCTTTCTAAAACCGGACTTTAAGTCGGTGCATGGCTCACAAATCTTTTCGATCATGCAGTGCAATATCATAAACATACAGAACAACAAGAGCGGATCAAGAATCTAACCTTAGAACACGGATCTAACGGTTTGATCTCAAGAAATCAAGCTCGAAGGTTTACTTTCTCACTCTAAACTTCTTCTTCCCCCTAGAGCTTCTCTCTCCAATTTCCAAAACAATATACAACAAATGATAGGTTCTCACACTCGGTTCTGGGTTTAGCCTTCTGCTGGGACACGTGGCGGTGACTGGTTGGATTTCCCTGAAAAGGTGGCTGACAAACCAGACAAAGCATGGGCGAAAGGGTGTTTAACAAGTAATACGGTATGGACTCTCTGACGAGGCACTGACATCGGCCAGGAACAAGGCATCGGCAAGTAGGATGACAATGATCTCGGAATCTATCTCACAATCCTCATCAGAATCCTCTCTAACTTTATGAGCATTACTAAAAGCAATATCCTTTTGTTTCTTTTTGAAATTATTGTGTGCCTCATAAGTTTAGAGATTTCCAACCAACTGATCCAGCTTGAGGTTGTCAGCATCTTGAGCCTCCTCAATAGCCGTAACTTTTGGTTGGAACCAATCGGGCAAGGATCTCAAAATTTTTCTCACAACTTTGGATTCTGGTATTTTTCACCTAAATTGAAGCTGGAATTTACAATGTCACCCAACTTCGCATAAAATTCATCAAAGGTCTCACTATCTTTCATTGAAAGGTTTTCGAAACTAGACGTGAGCCTTTGAAGTTTAGAGCGTTTAACAGAAGGAGTGCCCTCATGAATAGTTTGTAAGATATCCCAAGCCTTTTTTGCGACTTCACAATTGCAAATACGACTAAACTCTTCAGGTGTGACAGCGCAAAAAAGAGAATTGATAGCTTTACTATTCCAGCTACTATTTTGGTAATCAGTTGTGTCCCACTTATCAATTGGTTTGGGGAAAGTTACTCCATCAATAGTAATTGTTGGTTCGGTCCACCCATTCATGACAAATTGCCAAAATTTTTCATCTATAGATTTCAAAAACGATCTCATACGAGCTTTCCAAAAAGAATAATTGGAACCGTCAAGTAGGGGTGGTCGAACCATAGAATTTCCCTCACGAATTGAATCAATCTCACATTTAAAGCAGCCATAGTCTTGGAATCTATCTCACAATCCTCATCAGAATCCTCTCTAACTTTATAAGCACTACTAAAAGCAATATCTTTTTGTTTCTTTTTGAAATTCCTGTGTGCCTCATAAGTTTGGAGATTTCCAACCAACTGATCCAGCTTGAGGTTGTCAACATCTTGAGCCTCCTCAATAGCCGTAACTTTTGGTTGGAACCGATCGGGCAAGGATCTCAAAATTTTTCCCACAACTTTGGATTCTGGAATTTTTTCACCTAAATTGAAGCTGGAATTTACAATGTCACTCAACTTCGCATAAAATTCATCAAAGGTCTCACAAAGGTCTCACTATCTTTTATTGAAAGGTTTTCGAAACTAGACGTGAGCCTTTGAAGTTTAGAGCGTCTAACAGAAAGAGTGCCCTCATGAATAGTTTGTAAGATATCCCAAGCCTCTTTTGCAACTTCACAATTGCAAATACGACAAAACTCTTCAGGTGTGACAGCGTAAAAGAGAGAATTGATAACTTTACTATTCCAGCTACTATTTTGGTAATCAGTTGTGTCCCACTTATCAATTGGTTTGGGGAAAGTTACTCCATCAATAGTAATTGTTGGTTCGGTCCACCCATTCATGACAGATTGCCAAACTTTTTCATCTATAGATTTCAAAAACGATCTCATACGAGCTTTCCAAAAAGAATAATTGGATCCGTCAAGTAGGGGTGGTCGAACCATAGAATTTCCCTCACGAATTGAATCCATTGTCACAAATCAAACAAGATCTCGTTCTAAAAGATATATTTTTTTAAAAAAAAAGAACGACCCGCTCTGATACGAATTGAAAAATCTAGAAATCCCCTAGATGTTGATTTATGATTATGTATCAATCTTAAGCAGAATATAACAATCCCAATCAAACAATCAAGACAAAGAGACACAACGATTTTACGTGGAAAAAATCACAATTGGACACCTCCAACTGAGATAAAAAACCACGGGCAACAGCCACAAAACAATCCACTAAGAAGATTTAAAGGAATTACACAGGAATACTCTCAATTACCTAGCGAATCCACGCCTAATTGAACTAACCTCTATGTGCCTTTTCTAACCTGTCTTCACCTCGGAATTGTATTTACGATGAGCCACCCCGGAATCTACCAAATCTTCAGGCTCGAATTCTTCAGAATCCACTGAAGAACAACTCTCTCTTTTGTAGAACAACCAAACCTTTGATGTACTCTCTTTAAACCATGAGTTGAATACTCAATAAAACATCAAAGAAAACTAACAAAATATCCCCAGATATAAACCTTAAGAACCAAAAAGAAGATCTGGAGGAATTCAAGAGTAGTTTAGTTTTGGAAGAAAACCAACTACTTATAGAAAAACCAAAAGTAATCTTAGATTTGGAAGAAAACCCAATCCTTAATGAAATCCGAAAAACTGTGTTCGCGCGGTCCGCTCGAGCGCCCAAAAGCCCGCTCGAGCGGCTTCAGCAAAATATGCGCGTGATATAACAGAGGTCCGCTCGAGCGCTGGAGAACCCGCTTGAGTGCGAAATCACACATCTCAGTACTTTTACAGGCAACCAAAATTGCTGGAACCAGGGATCCTTCGCTCGAGCGGGGTAATGTCCGCTCGAGCGGACAGGCAACTTGGAATGCATTTTTGCATTTTGCTTCGGGGGTGCTGCCCCTCGACCCTGCCGTGGCGCTGCCTTGGACCCGCCAAGGGGCGCTGCCCCCTGGACCCTCGTGAGCTGACCGGGCATCTCGATCCCTGTCATAATCAGCGAAGTGGCAATCTTGAAAGCATTAGCATCACAAACTTCTCTGAAAGGCTCGATTCGGGTTGGATTCGCATCTAACAACTCATAGCCTCACTGAAATAAAAATGCGAATAAAATTACATCTCAAAGGAGTTTTGTCAAACGGGATTGCCAAGAAATAAAACCTAACAAATGGGTACAAACAACAGAATAATTATTTGTTTGCCGGCGGTGGAAGTATTTCAGTGCTTCTCTGTGAGCTGCATCACTGGAGTTTTGGGTTATTTCGTTGTTATTTTATTCGAGTTTTATAAAGTGTATGATACAAGTAAAATTATTACAATTTTTTAAAAAGAGTAGTATTTCTTTATATTTTTTCAATATTTCTGTCAAAAAATATTACAGACTTCATAAATTTTAATATGATACGTATGAATTACAACTGTATTTTGATCACAACATTATTTACACCGTGCCTTAAGACACATGCATATTCTAGCAAAAAAATATAACAAATAAGGAATAATAAAATATGTTAAAATAAATAATAAAAAATTGAATGATTTATTTTATTAGATTTTTTTTATTATATATGATTTAATTAGATTTATTATATAACAAATTATATTATTTATTATATTCATTAAATGTTAAAAACGGGAGGGGACACAGATCGACGAAAGAGAGAGAGAGAGAGAGAGAGAGAAAGAAGAAGAAGAAGACAAAGATGACGACAACGAAGAAGAAGAAGAGGAAGAAGAAGACGATGACGAGGGGAGAGGGAGAGAGAGAGAAAGAAGAAGAAGAAGACGAAGATGACGACAACGAAGAAGAAGAAGAGGAAGAAGAAGACGATGACGAGGGGATACTGAAGAAGAGAAGACAGAGAGATAGAAGAGGAGATCGAGAGAGATAAAGACAGAGAGTGAAGAGGAGATCGTGACTAGATCGAAGGCGATGTAACAGAGATCGAAGGCTATGTAATAGATCGAAGACGTGTCCGAGAAACCCATGCCCTAAACCAGCGAATCCATGTAACAGATCGACGGCGACACCAGGTTTCTCTCTCTCTTTCACTCTCTCTCTCTCTCTCTCTCTCTCTCTCTTTCTCCTTCACGATCCCATCGTTGACTGAATCGCGTTTCTCTCTCCACAGAAACGCAATTCCTACACGTTTCTTTCTAGGAAACGCGGAATCGCGATTCTTACTCAGAATCGCCACCTGGTTGCGTGATTCCTGCAACTAAGAGCTGCATACAAAACACTCTCTCTCTCTCTCTCTCTCTCTCTCTCTCTCTCCTTTACGATCCCATCGTTGACTGAATCGCGTTTCTCTCTCCACAGAAATGCAATTCCTACATGTTTCTTTCTAGGAAACGCGGAATCGCGATTCTTACTCAGAATCGCCACCTGGTTGCGTGATTCCTGCAACTAAGAGCTGCATACAAAAGGTATTAATTTTGGCATCTGCTGGATAGCATTTTTTTTTGATGTAGCTGTTGGTCAGTGGTTTTTCTGGATTTATACAATTGTTGTTATATATATATATATATATGTGTATAGAAGAAATGACAAAGGCATAGAAATGAGATGTACAGAGATGGTAAAGGCATAGAAATGAGAACATAGTTTGTGTTAAAGGAGAAAGATGGACACAGAGATGACTAGTTTGTGTCAATCAATTTATCTTCTTAGAACATCATGAATAATTGCAATCAAGAAACTTTTTTGTCCAATATTCTCATCCTCATACATTAGTTTATACAATATTATAAATTATAATGCATCATATTTTTGGAACTTGCCTTTTGATTTCTTGGTTCAATTATAGGGCACAATTGTTAAAATTTGATTTTACTTTAAAACAGTTGCATTTAGTTCAAGATGATAAAACACTAAAAAAAAATTACTCTAGGCAAACTAGTTTCTTAAGAAACTTGAATTTGAGGTGTTGACGCCCCAAAATCACCAAACGGCGTCGGATTAGCACGAAACTTGGCACACACGACCACCTAGGCACGAGAGACTTGTGGGAGAAGACAAGACTCGAATCGGGTTCCCGGTTTGGGAGTTAGAGCCGGATTTCGGTCTAGGCAATTCTTTAAGAAACTTGAATTTGAGGTGTTGACGTCCCAAAATCACCAAACGGGGTCGGATTAGCACGAAACTTGGCACACATGACCACCTAGGCACGAGAGACTTGTGGGAGAAGACGAGACTCGAATCAGGTTCCCGGTTTAGGAGTTAGAGCCGGATTTCACTCTAGGCAAACTAGTTCTTTAAGAAACTTGAATTCAAGGTGTTGACGCCCCAAAATCACCAAACGGGGTCGGATTACCACAAAACTTGGCACACACAACCGCCTAAGCACGAGAGATTTGTGAGAGAAGACGGGACTCCAATCGGGTTCTCGGTTTGGGAGTTAGAGCCAGATTTCACTCTAGGCTAATTAGTTTCATAAGAAACTTAAATTCGAGGTGTAGACGCCCCAAAATCACTAAACGGGGTTAGATTAGCATGAAACTTGGCACACACGACCACTTAGGCACGATAGACTTGTGGGAGAAGACGGGACTCCAATCGGGTTTCCGGTTTGGGAGTTAGTACCGAATTTCGGTTTAGGCAAACTAGTGCATTAAAAAATTTGAATTCGAAGGGTTGACGCCCCAAAATTTCCAAACAACGTCGGATTAGCACGAAACTTGGCGCACACGACCGCCTAGGCATGAGATACTTGTGGGAAAGACGAGACTCGAATCGGGTTCCCGGTTTGGGAGTTGGAGCCGAATTTCACTCTAGGCAAACTAGTTCCTTAAGAAACTTGAATTCGAGGTGTTGACGTCCCAAAATCACCAAACGTGGTCGGATTAGCACGAAACTTGGCACACACGATTGCCTAGGCATGAGATACTTGTGGGAGAAGACGTGACTCCAATTGGGTTCCCGGTTTGGGAGTTAGAGTCGGATTTCGCTCTAGGCAAACTAGTTCCTTAAGAAACTTGAATTCGAGGTGTTGACGACCCAAAATCACCAAACGGGGTCAGATTAGCACGAAACTTGGCACACACGACCACCTAGGTACAAGAGACTTGTGGGAGAAGACGGGACTCCAATCGGGTTCCCGGTTTGGGAGTTAGAGTTCGATTTCACTCTAGGCAAATTAATTCCTTAAAAAACTTGAATTCGAGGTGTTGATGCCCCAAAATCACCAAATGGAGTCGGATTAGCACGAAACTTGGCACACACGACTACCTAGGCACGAGAGACTTATGGGAGAAGACGGGACTCCAATCGGGTTCCTGGTTTGGGAGTTAGAGCCGGATTTCGGTCTAAGCAAAATTGTTCATTAAGAAATTTGAATTCGAGGGGTTGACGCCCCAAAATCACCAAATGGGGTCAGATTAGCACGGAACTTGGCACACACGACTGCCTAGGCACGAGAGACTTGTGAGAGAAGACGGGGCTCGAACCGGGTTCCTAGTTTGAGAGTTAGAGCCAGATTTCACTCTAGGCAAACTAGTTCCTTAAGAAACTTGAATTCGAGGTGTTGATGCCCCAAAATCACCAAACGGCATTGGTTTAGCATAAAACTTGGCCCACACAGCCGCCTAGGTACGAGAGACTTATGGGAGAAGACGGGACTCGAATTGGGTTCCAGGTTTGGGCTTTTTTTTTCCCCAGCTTCAATCAACTAGACCTTCCTGAGTATACTTCCAAGGAACAGCTTCAAGAGCACTTGGTCCTTGCTATCCATGAAGCTAGTGAAGGATTTGGCTTTGGTTGATTAAGAATTTCTTCATTGCATCATCACTATAGCGACCCCGGTCTTTTCCCATTTGATTATTGTATCCGGACTTAGGTTCCGTAGATTCCGTCATTTTATAATTGTTGTTGTCATTCATTATTATGAATGAATTGATAAATTGTTTTCTTTAATTAATGCATGTCATTGATATATATATATAGATGGGTTAATTTTGAGGGCGTTACAATCACTCCAATACTGCCAGCACTTCCAATTACAATGTACATGTCAGTTTGACACCTCCTTTAATTTGCATGTTCTGATATCTATTTTATATGTTTGTTTTTTTATTGAGAACTAATAGAATTTTAGTATACTGCTTTTATTTATGTTGAGATTTGGCAATAGTTACCAAAGGAATCAGAAATGATAAATTGCGTTTAAATCTTGCTATTCATTCAATTCCTGTGTGTTGAGGGAGAAAAATGGTTATAAGATTGTGAGAAATTTCATTTATGGGAGTGGTGTATTACAATGATAACATTGTCGATTTATGAAGTTAATTTGTGCATACAACTTACAAATATTCACTCTGGTTGAGCTTTTAGATATCTGAAAATTTTGAGAATTCATGTAATGGGTTCGGTGTGGTCTTGAGGAAATAAGTGATCACCTGTGGCTTGATAGATTAGAGGTTTTCCGCAATAGACTAGTGTAGCAATGCTTTCATTCTTGAGTTGGTATACATAGTGCATATGCTGTGTGGGTGTCCTTGCCTCAACACTGTGGAAACAGGACTTTTGTTTGAACCTTTTGTTTCAATTTTTTTTTATTGAAAATAAAGAGCATATGATCTAGGTTACGTGCCATTCTATCATACTTTTAAAACATGATTTTAAACGTTTAATTTATTTATTTTTATCTTTGCAGATAAAAGAGCGATTGATCCAGGTTACATGCCATAGGGAGGCCCGTGTCAAAATTGAAGGATTTTGTGCTGTAATTATTGGGAGTGATGCCTTAATCCACGCCTAAATGGCAGATGATATGATGATGTGTTTGCTTTTTGTTGAATGCTGGTCTCCTCAGTGTCATGGCCAAGAAACCCGATTCTTTTGTAGTTTCTTGCCATCTCTACATAGTTTCAGAGAATGCTGATAATGCCTGGGAGAATCTTTGCCCCCTTTTGTATATCTTAGCTTTTATTTTGGTCTTTTGTTAATATATTCTTTATTTATGGATCTAGTGGCCAATTTGCAATCTGACCAATCTTTTTGGGTTTAGTTCAGAGGTATTAACTTGTTATATAGTGGGATAATTTTGCTGATGTGTTATGAATGGAAGAATATTTTTATTATGGATGAATTGTTATTTTTATACTGAAATTTTTATATTATTATATAATTATCGGTTTCTTTTTAAGTTATTTTTCATTTAATATAGGTAATTTTCATATTTTTAATATTTTTATTGCATTTTTTTTTTTTTGAGACGGCACCACACCGTCTCAAAAAAACATAAGAACCAGATTTTTTTTTTGTGACGTAAGCAATGTCATCGTATAAGATATTGGCAATAGTTGTAAAAAAACCTTTCGCGGCGGTATTGTTTGCCGTCGCAAAAAATACTTTAGCGACGGCATGTTTGTGCTGTTTCAAATAACTTTTTAGCGACAGCAAGTACCCAGTTGCAATAAAAACACTTTTGCGACAGCATTTTTTTGCCGTCACAAATAATACTTTTAGCGACGGCAACACAATGCCGTCTCAAAAAATCTCAAATTTTTACATATTAATGTCGACAGTATAATTCCGTCGCAAAAAGGCAACTTTGCCGTCGCAAAAAAAATGTCGTCGCTAAAAACTTTTAGCAACGCCCTTTGTTGTGACCCCTTTTTTGCCGTCGCTAAAAGTCAGTTGCCGTCGCAAAAAATTTTTTGAGATGGCATTTTGAGTATTTGCGACGGCATTTTGCCGTCGCAAAAAATCAAAATTTTTGTAGTAGCTTAGCCACACTACACCCCCTAACTAGACTTACCAAACGTATTTACTCCAAAACAATACAAAACAATATTTGCTTCACAAAATAACTCCTTATTCAAAATGTAGTCTCAACCATGCCAATCGAAAAGCAATGAGGATGAAATGATATGACAATGCAATATATCAATACATTGTTAATTTTCCAAAGTTTTATCACCATGTTTGTTTCCAGTTTTTTTAAAATACTTTTCAGAAAATTTTACTTTCTTATTTTTCATATTTTTTTGTTTTTACTGAATTTTTTAAAATATTTTAAGCAATTTTTTTTAATTTTTAAACACACCTAACATAATTACACTCAAAAAGTATAATTTTCGTGAAAAAAAATCTTAAAAAACTTTACTAAATACCAAAAATACAAAAAAAAATAAAATAAAAATTCAATATATTTTTTGTATTTTTGTATATTTATTAATTGTTTAAAATATTTTTTCACAACTATTTTATTTTTTAGATACAACTAAGTAATGTGCATCTAAAAAAGTAAAAAAAAAATGCTTAAAATTTTAAAAATATTCACTAAAAACAAAAAAATATATATAAAAACCAAAAACTCAGTTTTTAGAAAACTGAATTCAGAAAACTGAAACCAAACACTGAATAATTTTCAATCTCAATGACACAATCCTTAGTTGTGATCAAATACCAATCTCTACTCAATATATATATATATATACCCACAATATATATTTTTCAAAAGATAATAATAACACATCATCATATGCATTCTCTTTCTCATATAGTTGAAGAAATTTCAATATGATAGTTATTGTTTCCAATCTTTATTTCTCAACAGTAGCATAACAAAATGCCATTCTCATCAACTCTCAACATCAATCTTCCATTCCATGGATTTTCAACATTTACAATTAACAATTCACTTTAATCATTTCTCAACAACAATATTTCATAAATCTTGATTTTACAATTAACACAACATTTTCTCTAATTTCCAGAATCTAGGGTTTTTCCAAAAAATAGGGTTTCTCATTTCAAAGAGGGGTTTTCTCTTAAAAAATCTTCAAATCATCCACATAGTCCAATATTTTAAAGATTTGAGAACTATGTAAGAAATATTTGAGAAAACCTTCATTTGAGCAAATCACAACCCCATCTAATCAAACCCTAACTCAAAACACACATAAATGTTAACAAAAAACATAGACTTGCTAAAATGTATATATAACTCAAAAAAATCCCTACCTCAAACTATGGAGAGGAGAATAGAGAAAAACCCCAAATCTTGACAGTGTCGAAAACTAATATCCACCGCACACAACAAGGGTCAAAATCTCAATGGATTGAGAGAAATCAAAGAAATGTGGGGTTGGTGGAGTAAATGTAGAGGGAGAGGGAGAGAGAGAGAGAGAGAGAAAAGTGACACATAGAAAGAGGTATAATGAAAATGAGAGAAATAGGGTTTTGGGATCAGATTTGAGTGAAATGGACTACAAAATTGGGACAAAAATGTGAAACCTTGCATGTACGGAGCCCATGGCCACATATGCGACTACCTCGCTCGCACATGCGGTGGCCTAAGGCCATACGTGTGCTTTCACGCAAAAGAAAAACCCATTCCAATTCCAGATCCCCGCACATACGGCCCTGGCCTCCGTACGTGCAGTCTAGTCCCCAGAAAACCAATCCACGCTTATAGTAATCCGCACGTGCGAGAAAACCTGGTGCCGAAAATCAATTTCTAAGGTGTTTCCCACACTCTTGTTCCGACCTCACATCCGAAATTCAAATCTTTAACTTGGAAGTAATTTAGAAAATTAAAACAAGAGAGTTACGAAGTGTGGTGACACTACACGGATTACGAGGTCTCAAAATTAAAATCAAACACTTGAAAATGAGGTGTTTAGACAGAATTAAATAGAAATTCAATTGGGTTAAGTACCCAAGACATCACAGCCCTCAGATGATTTTTTTTTTTGGGTAAATTATGCAAATAGTCCCTGTAGTTTACACGATGTGTCAATTTGATCCATGCTATTTTAATTTGCTCGATTTTGCCCCTTAATTTAATGGATTGTGTCATATTGGTCTAATAAATAACGACCATTAGGTTCGGTGGACAAAAAGTCGTCACGTGCTTAAACGTGTCAATTTGGTTTTTGTAGTTTACAATATGTGTCAATTTGGTCCCTGTTGTTTTAATTTGCTTGATTTTAACAGGGACCAAATTGACACATCGTTTGAGTTTTTATCCACCAAAACGAACGGCTATTATTTATTGAATCAATATGACACAATCTGTTAAATTAAGGGGCAAAATCAAGCAAATTAAAACAATGACCAAATTGACACATCGCGTAAACTATAGGACCATTTACATAATTTAGCTTTTTTGTTTTTTTTTTATAGGTGAATAGATAGGTGTGAGAGAAAAAGTAATTGATTGATGTGTAGAATGTAAAAGAATGAGTGAGGAGAGAGAAAAAGTAATTGATTAATGTGTAATAGAGAGAAACGTAATTAAAAAAAATTTTAAAAAAAATTCAACTAAATAAATTTTTAAAAATATTTCTCAAAAATTACCTCTCAACAAACAAACCAAATATGGTGAAGGTGTAAACCAAATATGGTGAAGGTGTTTGACAAAATGCATGTAAGAAATAGAAATTGGTAGGTGTGGCTGTTGGGTTGGAAGGGTGAAGGTTTTGGTGGGTTTGGGTAACTTTTAACTAGTTCTGGAAGGTGCAATTTTGTCAATTAATTTTTTTTTATTGTTTAAAAGTATAAAAATAAACTTTTAAGAATAAAATTTATATTTTTATTTAATATTTGATGACATTATTATTATTATTATTATTATTATTATTATTATTATTATTATTATTATTATTATTATTATTATTATTATTATTATTTGATTGATCTAATATTAATTAACGTATAATTGTAAGTGTACTATAATTAGTGAAATTTGATATAATTTTTCATATCAATCGTTTGTTTTTTATAATTGTAAGCGGATGTCCATAAAATATTAAAAAATTGTCTAATATATATGGGATATCATATGACACATTACAAATTAATCACGAATCATTATACCTTCTCTTATTGCTCATCACTCAACGAAAATCGTGAATTCTATCTCTTCTACCAAGTTGTGCAATAGCAAGTGGCTGTGTCATTGCGACAAAGAATAATAAATTATCCTTAAATTCTTTTGACTATCTTATTGTGTTTATGAAAAGAAAATCAACGATTGGACCTAGGATGCAAATTGTTAACTCAAGCAATAGCAAACAGAAATTGCATAGTTAAAAAAATAGCAAATTATATCGGTGGTTCCTGTATTTTACTCTTTGTATCATTTTGGTTCTTCCACTTTCAATTGACTTAATTTTGATCATTCATTTTAAATTTGCGTCAATTTGGTCCAATTGATAATATTGTTAGTGTTTTTCAAGAAAAATTATTACTAAAATTAGTTGATGTTAACATATTGCATTGGGTAAATTTATAATTTTGCCCTTAAAAATATGACACATGACACTTATATGCATATTTTCTTTTAAAAAATGCTAAGATTTGTAACTAATTGGATCAAATTGACATAAAGTAATAATTCAAGGTCAAAATCGAGCCAATTTAAATTACAATGACTGAAATAACACAAAGACCAAAGTATAAGGACTACTGTCATAATTTACTATTACAAAAATTACATGTGTGAATGTTTTTAGTGCAAGTTTGATAAACAAAATAGAAATGTATTATACGTAGGAAAGACTTGATTCAAGAATTTTCTAAAAAAATAATACACATTTTGTCAAGTTTTTACAAGGACATCCTCAAAACCACATAAAATTAATTGACACTAATATCACAAAAAAAGAGTCTTTGGTCAATAAAAATCGATCATTCATTTTAGGATAAAAGACAATTTTAGTCCCTAAAGTACGCGTTTTAAGTTTTAATTTTGTCATTTTGATTCTCAAAGTTGTCAATTTAGTCCTAAGTATAACATCCGTTAATAGAAATATGAATAAAATATAGCTTTGGTCCCTCAAGTATGCATTTCTTGCCATTTTAGTTAATCCAGTTATAAATTTTGTCATTTTGATCCTTAAAGTTGTCAATTTGAGCTAGGACCAAATTAACTCAAATTGACAACTTTGAGGAGTAAAATGACAAAATTTAAAATTTGAGGGACTAAAATGACAAGAAATGCATACTTTAGAGACCAAAATTGTCTTTTATTCATGTTTCTGTTACCGGACGTTAAACCTAGAACTAAGTTGACTCAAATTGACAAATTTGAGGACCAAAATGGCAAAATTGAAATTTAATGAACTATAATGACAAAAAATTGCATATTTTGAGAACTAAAATTGTCTTTTATCTTTCATTCTATCTCGCTTTGCTATAAAACAAGAATATTCTCCCAAAAAAAAAAGAACAAAAAATCACAAGAAGAAATAGGGGATCACAATCCAAAATCGATCTCACCTACCTCCAAAGGAAATATTCTACAATTCTAACCTCGATTGCATAACTCTCACCAGTGTACTATTTGAGCATCGAAAAGTCTTTGCCCAGTAAAAATCAGTCATTCATTCTATCTCGTTCGCTATCAAACAAGTAAACTTCTATATCATCTGTCAGTAAGGCTGTTATCAAATATGGAATTAACACTCTTATTGAAAATTAATAATAATAAACACGAGCTAATATGCTTAATTGGAATTTCTTATCATCGCATTATAGTTGTCTCATTCGTGGAACACTTTATTCCTACAGTCGATGCAAGTTCTATCTCATCACTACTCTCCTCATTATAGAATCCGCGTTGTCTAGGATGGGGCAACATTGCACTCCCATTATCCAACATTGACACCACAGATGACATTGTCGGCCTATCTTCAGGACATTGTTGCACACACAAGAGACCAATTTGTATACATTTTAATACTTCTAACGTCAGCATTGCTGGGGTTTCCAACTTTTTAACAACTAGCTGGATGGCATTCTCTTCAATCCATAGTTTCCATGCCTAAGAGAACACATTTATATTAGATATCAATAATGGAAGAAAATTCCAAAAATGAGGAGAACAAACTCATGTAAAAACTTACATGTCCAAGAAGGTTGTAAGTATGGTTAGGATGTCAGGACTTTCTATTCCTCTGTCCACTCACTATTTCTAAAGCAAGTTCTCTGAAACTAAAAACATTTGATTTCATTGAAAATAGCCCACATAATACGTACTCTGGGGACATATAACCATTGCACGTCATAATCAAATTAATAAATCAATAAAGAAGTCGGTGAAACTTGAAGTTGGGTAAGTACATGCAAGAAATCTTTTGGTTACTTACTAAGTTCCAATCACCCTTCTCATTTTCTCGGATATTTGACCTGCTCCAAAAGCTCTAGCAATGCCAAAGTTTGAAATTTTGGGATTCATCTCATTGTCTAGCAGCACATTGCTAGCTTTGAGATCCCTGTGCATAATTCTCAATCTTGAATCCCGATGAAGGTAGAGAACCCCTCGAGCAATCCCCACAATAATATCAAAGTGTTTCCTCCATTCAAGAGAGTTGCTTTTTGTGGTATCTAGGACATAGATCAAGAGAGGCATTTGTATAGAATATTAGTTTTCTATTCAATAGTTGACGTAATGGTGGACAACTTTGAGTAGTGCGTAGTTTGGTTTCGACATTCAATTGAAGAAGTTAGAAGAAAGGTCGAAGGACCAAACCAAAAATAAAGGAGCTCAAGTTGCCGTTGGGCAAATACTCATAGATCAACATCCTCTCTTCTCCTTGAATGCAACATCCCAAAAGCCTAACAAAATTTTGGTGTTGAAGCTTGGCAATCAAGATAACCTCATTTTTAAATTCACCGAGCCCTTGTTTAGAATTCTCCGAGAGCCTCTTTACTGCTATCTCTTGTCCCGTTGATAGTTGACCCTATGGAAATAAACAAGATTTTTTTTTTTTTTTTTAAGAAAGTAAATAAAGATTGAAAATAAAAACATCATACACGTGCATTTGCCAAACAAAATGTCCAAGGTGAAAGCCACCTATATGGGGCCGCCTAAGGCAAATCGACACTACATAGAAGAGCAATGAAACAAACAAGAAAAAACAAGATTTTTTCAAACCCTCATGCAAAGATTTGAATTTACTCTCTTTTGAGGCACACTCACAAATACACAACACAGAAAATTATAATGACTTTACTAAATGCAATTAAAATTACCTTGTAAACTAGTCCGAACCCACCTTCTCCAATCTTATTAGAAATAGAAAAATTGTTTGTAGCATTTGTAATTGTGACTATATTGAAAATGGGTAAGTCTATGTTTTCATCATCTTTGAATGGAATGTTTGGCCGGGAACCTATCGATCATAACAGATGAGAAGATCAGGAAACAAACGAAATTGAAACTTGGTTATATTTGTGTCCACAAATGACTATCATATGGCATTAAATTCCACAATACCTCGATGCATAAATTTTACAGGGGAATTTGGTATTTAAGGTACAGAAGAAGAACAGAAAAAATGGTAAATCACCTTTATTACACTAAACATGGAGAGGGGGTAAAAAATGACTTAACAAGAACATTAACTTTTTAAGTGCTCCTTGCATATCAATCTAGATAAAGGAGTTAGTATAAAAGTATGCACGAAATACCCTTGTTATGTTTTTATTCAATGTAAATTGTTGGATTATCAATTGTCACAAAAGCATAAGCTGTTATAAAAATGATCTGCCAATATATACCTAGCTATCTTAACACCATTCATCAACAACATATGTCCAGCATATTTTAATAGCTTTTCTCAAGTGCAGCACAATCTTTCTCAGTGTCTTCCAACCTTTAGGCAAACAGACAACTAACCACGTTCAAACAAACCAAGTCAGATAACCAATTATCCCAAAACTTTAGTTGTAAACAGATCTTATCTTGCATATCTAGGTGAAAACAAACAACAAACCAAACATCATCCCCGGAACTAGAGCTATAATACCAAGTTAGATCGCCAACTATCGTAAAACTTAAGATGAAAGGAAATAGACCCAACAATATTGTCAAACTATCTTACCATAATGGACCAATGATATATTAGGATTAAGATAATCCAGGCCACTGAAATCTCATCTTTGATGTAGTCCGATGGGATCAAACATTAAGTCAACAAAAGGATAAACTCTGAATAAGAAACTCTAATGAAACAAACAGGTTATACCAATTAACTTGTTGGTAGACTCATGGTTTGACACATTTTTAGTTCAGAGCTACTTAAGTCTCCACCGCACCTAAGAAAGTGTGTGAGTGATTTTCTGACCACACTGCCAACTCAGTAATCAGCTGGAGAGTACTGGCAGAATAGATGGCACCTGGCTGACCTGCAACAGAAAGAGAAGATTCCGGCGGTGGTTCGTCCACCCGGGGGCACTCCAACGATCAAGCCAGTATATCTCTCAAAGATAATCAATAGTGCTTAAACTCACTGTTCAGAATATAAATTGCGTACCTTAGACCCATCGGGGGTGCCTCTCTTTTATAGTTAACTCAATCCTTGTCCCACTAGAAGCCTAGCTTCAATGGACTCTTGCTCAGTGCTTATTTTGGACTCTTCAAGCGATAAAGATAAACTCCCTAAGAGTGTTATCCTTATCCATGCTAAAGTCTTTCATCATTCTAGGACTCTTGTCCCTTATCCGCTTATCTCGGATTCCGATATCTTCGGAGATAACCTCGGCCTAGCCGAGATCACCTTGGCGTCATAACCAGGACACGTGGCACCTCGGCTGACACGTCGGCGTCACCTTGGCCACGTGTTGGTACTCAGAAAATATATCTCCACAACTGCCCCCTAGGTTCTATTACCTCAGCATTCTGAGGTGATGGAACCTATATCGGTACTTCTTGCCAGTACATCGGCTTCAGCCGAGCTCATCATTATAGGCCGACATTTCTTCTTAAAGATCAAGAATTCCAAGAGCTTCTTCACACGCATGAGCTGTCATGCATCACAATTCAACCATTTCAGCCACGTGTCTTTCTCTTACTGGATCCTACTTGGTACGTGCTTCTAAATCATCTTGCGCATGCGTGCGCCGTCTGATGCTCACGTTGTTTTAGGCGCATTAATTCTATTTTGCCGCCATTTCAAGTTTTTAACAAAAATCATTCGCTCTCTCCTTATTTTCTTACTTTTCTCCATCGTCTCTGAAGCTTTCTTTCTCTAGTTTTTCTTCCAATCCCTCCATTGTTCAAGCTTCTAAAGCTCTGCCATCGCTGCTGTTCACCTCTTCTGGCGTGGTTTCCACCGATCTTCCGCCTTAGCAACCGTCGTCAAACTTTGGCAATTCTCATTCCGGCTTCCCTCTTTCTGGTAAGCCACTATTACTCCTGATTTTAGTTTCTTGTTACCTAACTGAACTTTACTGTTTTACCTGCTGTCATTGCAATCTTGTTCATATTTTTGATATTTCATCTCGCATCTTGTATTCCACCATATATTTGAACATGTTTGTTTCATGATTCTGTTTTTACCCAAATCATCTTGAATATACACTGTTCACACTCCTGTTGATTTCTGCCACTGTTCTTGGCCTGATACACTTGTGCAAACTTTTTATCTTGATTTCCTGATGGCTTCATCATTATTCTTGATTCTGAAACGCATCCCTGTTTTTCTGTTTTCCAGATCCGTGCATTCAATCTTCGTTTCCATAGATCTAGGTTTGGGATTTGCTTGTAGATCCCTTGATTATTAGGAAAAACTAAAACTATTTCCACAAATTCTTACCCAGCACATACTTTAGGTTTTTGCCGAGGTCCCAATAACCATTTTAAAACACCTTCATTCTGAAATCCAGTTCCTCCTAGCTAGGCCGATATCATGGGTATGTGGAAACATAGGGTAGACATTCCGGCCAAATTAGAGCACTTTAGGCAGGAATTCAAAATCCCGACCGACGTTCATCTGAGGTTGGCTTGGGAGGATGACTCTATCATGCCCGATGTAAACCTCATGCCTTTCCCAGTATTAGCGTTTATTGAGTGTGGACTTAGGTTTCCACTTGACCCTTTTTTTCGTGAAATCCTTCATTTCTATTGGTTGAACCCAATGCAGCTTGCCATCAATTCTTACCGAGTCATTAATGGTACCATAGCCATAGCCAAACAAGAGAATGCTAGGATTACTCTTGCCGATTTCTAGTACTATTATACCATGTGTCGCCTGAAATCGGAAAAAGGCCACATCTATTACCTCAAGCCGAGGTCCACGGAATACAAGATCGTTGCCGACCTCCCTGACTCCAACAAGGAAGCGGGGATAATTACTTCATCATTTCGGGTAACTGGGAGTTTCATCCAAATAATGACCTCCATCTTTATCCCCTAAGTCGAACAGTTTTCGGGGAAGGAGCTGGTAAGGGCCACCCTTCACAAATTTTCTTGCTTTCTTTCATAAAGTTTTCAACATTCTGCTCTAATGTCTACGTTTTTTCTTTTTTGCAGTTCTTCCTCAGCCACCAAAGGGCTTTCGCCAGTCTTTCTTTCCTAGCAAAGACTTGAAAAAACTACTGAATCTGCCAGTTCTCAAACGGAAGGCACCTCTTCTACTCAATTTCATTCCCACGTATAAGTCAGCTCTTCCCGACGTCCCCAAAAAGAAGAAAAAGAGTCTGTCTCCTCCTTCTGCCACAACTCCTCAGACTGCCTCCATGTCTCGGCAAGATCAAGGATCGACCTCTGATCCAGCCGAGCAGCCGTCAACCTCGGCTCCATATCTGATCTCGATATCCCAACGCCAACGCCGGTGACGAACCGTTTTTTCTGTCGAGATGGGGCCGTCTGAAAGTAGTTGCCAAAGATCTCTTGGTCAGCATCCCATCAACCATTGATGCTCCACCAGCGCAATCCCAGCCCCCTGGGAAGCCGAAAAGAATAAAGAAGGCTCAACCAAAGGCAAAGGTGACTCAGGTTGACACTGAGGACACCTTGCCAATCTCAAAACTGGCTGAGAGTGATAAGTCCCAATCTGCCGCGGAGAAGAGGCATGCCGAGGCCCAACCATCTGAATCCCCAAAATTAAAGAGGCCGAGGTCATCCAATACAGCCACCTCGGGGTCTTCAAAGCAGAATGCCCCCTGGGCCCCTCAAATCACACTAGAAGATAAGCCAGTCAAGGCTAGCGATAGTGCTGACGACATAAATGTCGCTGTCGCCCTCAGTACTGCTCTGCTTCTTCCCGGCGATCTCAACAGAAACGCCGAGTTGAGTGAGTATGAGAATTATGCTCTAATGCTTCAGCGCTCTGTCCAAGTGAGTGTCTTCATTTGGTATTTTCTTTCTTTTTTGCACTTAGAAAATTTTCTAATGACTTTTGTCTTGTTCACTTTCAGGCCATCCAGTATGCTCATTCCTTCTTAATACAATCCTTTGAGAACCGGAAAGAACTAGCCGACAAGAAGAGGGAAGTTGCCAGTTTGCAAAAGGCCAACAAAGGCTTACAATAAAAAATGAAGAAGTTGGAAGACCAGGCCGAAGCTGTCATTAAAGCTCAAACTGATACCGAAGAAAAGGCAAAATCTATCGAGGCCATCAAGAAGGTTCTTGAGGCCGAGAAGAAAGAGGCCGGGGAGAAGATGGCCCAAGCCCAAAAAGAACTTCAGGATGCCTTGGCCACGAAGGACGCCGAGCTCAAGACAGCCGATGAGAAGGGCTACAATGAGGGTGTGGCAGATGTCACGGAGGATTATGAAAAACAAGTAAAGCAAGCATGCAACAAGGGTTTTACCCTTGGTTGGATGACATTGCTGAAAAATCTTGAAGTCCTTGAGGACTCGCCCCTCAGAAACGCCGACGTCATTCCTCTTCCATTCCCTCCAACTCCATGTCAGCTCGACGATGAATCTGAGTCTGAGGAGAAGACCCTGGTGAGGAAACCAAAGGAGGCTGATGGAACCAAGTCCCCTTTTCCGAATGAGCAAGTCCTGAACTTGACTCAAGATGAGGAGGGTGAAGAGGTTCCCAAAGATGCTATAGTTGAGAATGCATCAGCCAACGTGCCTCTTGCCGACAAGAGCCTTGATCAAACTCTTCAAGAAATTGATGCGGAGCTTACGGCCGAGAAGGCGGCTAAGATGTCCTCCCAGCAGTCTTCCGAGGTCCAGGCCCAGCTTGCCAAGGAGCCTGAAGAATCTTAATTTTGGTGTCTTTTTCCTTTGTTTTTCGCCTTTTGTATTTCTTTGTTTTTGGGACAATGTAAACTCTTCATATGGCCGATGTGCCTTTTAATGCTTGCGTGTTTGCCTTGTATGCTTCCATACTTAGAGTATTTTGTATATCTTCAACATACACCTTAACTGTGCAATCTCCCCAGGTTTAACATACCTCGGACAAGACTTTCAACTTTGCTTATCAAGTTGAAGTTTAACACTTGAAAACATTGTAACAAATATTTCCACAAATGTTGTTTTTACCTCTTAAGACTTCTGTCTTTCGTTATCTTCCAAGTCTTGGTAACATAATCACCTCGGCACGTGTATAGATACTTCTATAACCTTGGTTTTAACTTCAACTTGTAAACTTTTCTCAAGTTTCAACAAGTGTTAAACATCATTTCGGTTTCACTTCAACTTGTAAACTTTTCTCAAGTTTCAACAAGTGTTAAACATCATTTCGGTTTAACTTCGACTTGTAAACTTTTCTCAAGTTTCAACAAGTGTTAAACATTTTCTCTTCTCTCTGCCACCTAATGTGAACCTAAGTACCACTTGAGGTCTCATTATGCATGTATTTCAGAAACAACGTTATGTATCTTTATCAGTCACAAGTGTATAAATGAATAAATCAAGCTAAATCTTTATTTATTTATTTCGGCAAATGACAAAAGAACAAAACTTTAATTATTTACTTCGGCAAACATCTCAATATTTGCTCTTAAAAAAGCTTCCAATTCTTTTCCCTCTTCTTCGGCTAAGCCCGAGCCGAGAAGAAATAAGCGTTCTTTATCCCTTCCTGGACGAGGATTTTCTTCAGTGTTTCTTCATTCTTCTCGGCTGATTCCTTGCTGACATCCTCTAGGACCTCCACGTCCTTGCATTCAATCTCTGCCTTCTATGGTTCTTGAATGCTGCAGGTGGTTTTCATTGCTGCCATGGAGAAATTCTTTGCCTGTAGCTGATCTCCACTGACCTCTTCAATCCCATGCTCTGTTAGGAACCGCAATAGTTGATGCAATGTTGAGGGAACTGCCCCCATTGCATGTAACCATGGCCTTCCCAAAATGATGTTGTAAGGGGAGGGTGTGTCAATTACGGTGAACTCTGTTGTTATCTTCTTGGTGCCTGCCTGTACCTCCAAGCTGGTTGTTCCCAGTGGCCATGTCGACGTTCCATTGAACCCGACCATTGGGCTATTGGATTGCTCCATATCGTCTAGGTGAAAGCCAAGCTCCTTGTAACATCGGACATACATGATGTCACAAGAGCTGCCTTGGTCAATCAGGATGCGTTTTACTTGGCATTCCTTAACCTAGAGGGATACTACAAAGGCATCATTATGCAGATGCTGCACCATCTCAAGGTTGGCTATTGAAAAGGACACTACTGGTCCTTGGCACTCCTCTGCCCGATGTCTCTTCTCCCTGACTTGGTAGATATGCTATAAGTGCTTCACCTTCTGGGTCTGCCCCCTAATTTCATTCTCGTTAACCTTCGAGTGAATTACATTAATTACCCAAGGTTCTCCTGCCTGAGATTGCTGTGCTGGGGGAGGCGGAGCTGCTGTCACCTGAGGCAATCTTGCATGTTCTTCCCTTGTCCTGGCCTCATCGACAAGGTCCCTCGGATGGCCTTGCCTCACCAGGTCCTCTAAGTGTGTTTTCAAGGCTCTACAACCCTGAGTCATGTGCCCATCTTCATTGTGGTAAGCACAATGTCTGCCAAGGTTTCTTCCCATAAACTCTCCTGGAGCCCTTGCTGGTGTTCTGAAATAGGGTTGATTTTGAATTTGGTCCAGGACTTTGTGAATTAGGATTCGGAACACAGTTATCACTGCCTGTGTAGCCCTTAGTTCTGTCTCTTGCTTGCTCGATCCATTGTTACCTCGGCCTCGCTTCAGCTAGCCGTTTCCTTTCTCTTGCTTTGCCTCCTTAGTCCCCGATGTATCTTCCTCGGCTCTAGCATACTTCTCGATTCTTGCCATGAGCTCTTCCATATTTTTTGGCAATGTCTTTGCCAAAGATTTTCGGAGTGGACAGTCTTCTTTCAGGCTATTCTTGAAAGATACGATCGCCACCTCTTGATTACACTCTGGTATTCGGTTGAAAACCTCATAGTACCTTTTTGCATAGACCCTAAGGCCTTCATCCTTACTGATCTTCAGAGCCATCAATGCGTCCACCCTCAATGGCTGCAGCTTGTTTGTCACGAACCTGGCCACAAACATCTCGGCCAGGCCTTCCCAGGTCTTCACACTTCCCTTCGGTAGTTTGTGAAACCAATCTGATGCAATCTCTCCGAACGATGAGGGGAACACTTTGCAAAGCAACGGCTCGTTCCCACGATACAATGCCATTGAGTTCAAGTATAATCCAACATGGAAGTTGGGGTCTAACTTACCATCGTATATTTGGAACCTCGACATACTGAATCTCTTCGGTGCCTCAAACTTGTCCAACTCCACCGAGAATGGTGTTCTCGGCTTTTCAGGAGAAGTTACCTCGGCATTAGCATTCTGCTGCTTCCTCTTGAGGTAATCTCTCAAGTCTTCCTTTGTCCACCCAGGAGCTCGGCTATCTCCTGATCTCAATCTTTTTGGTGCACTACTTTCAGCTTCGTGGTGAGTCCTCTTCGACCTTTCTCCATTAGTTGTGTCGAAGCACAACGTCTGCCCCTAAACATTCCGATGTTCTTTGGGGTCTGCCTCCTTTGTGTGATGCGTTCTCCGTGATTCTTCTCTCCTCGATTCTCCTAGCCCGACCTCCCTGGAAGGCCGGTGAGAGTGTTTTTCGCTTCTGGTGCGCTGGGGGGGCTATTGGGATTGTCTTCTGTCCTCCCTTCTAGGCATTGGCCGCTGGAATCGGCGTGTCCTGCAACGGGTATGGTGGCTGCATGACATTGTTTTGCATCATGAAATTGACGACCGATTGCAGGTCTGCCAATTTGTTTGCCATCTCTTTTACCTCTTCATCCCTTCGTAGGCATCTATCCTTCCATACCTGGAGGTCATCCTCATTGTAGTACCCACTTCGATCTGGCTTCTTTGATAAGTCGCCATCCTGGCCGACGTCTTTCTTGCTGTGATTTTGGTCACGTATTTCTGTGTTGCGGTTGTCTCCTTTGACGTTAAGGTTGATAGGTCTACCACTCCCAGCAAGAGTGTCGTCCCCAATCTTTTCCTTCTGTCCGTTACTGGCCATCTATTCTTCTTTCTTTCCCACAGACGGCGCCAAATTGTGTGAGTGATTTTTTTACCACACTGCCAACTCAGTAATCAGCTGGAGAGTACTGGCAGAATAGATGGCACCTGGCTGACCTGCAACAGAAAGAGAAGATTCTGGCGGTGGTTCGTCCAACCAGGGGCACTCCGACGATCAAGTCAGTATATCTCTCAAAGATAATCAATAGTGCTTAAACTCACTGTTCAGAATATAAATTGCGTACCTTAGACCCATCGGGGGTGCCTCTCTTTTATAGTTAACTCAATCCTTATCCCACTAGAAGCCTAGTTTCAATGGACTCTTACTTAGTGCTTATTTTGGACTCTTCAAGAGATAAAGATAAACTCCCTAAGAGTGTTATCCTTATCCATGCTAAAGTCTTTCATCACTCTAGGACTCTTGTCCCATATCTGCTTATCTCGGATTCTGATATCTTCGGAGATAACCTCGGCCTAGCCGAGATCACCTTGGCGTCATAACCAGGACACGTGGCACCTCGGCTGACACGTCGGCGTCACCTTGGCCACGTGTTGGTACTCAGAAAATATATCCCCACAGAAAGCTAAGCTGTTTTGGTGTGCAACTTATCCATGCTAAAGTCTTTCATCATTTTAGGACTCTTGTCCCATATCTGCTTATCTCGGATTCTGATATCTTCGGAGATAACCTCGGCCTAGCTGAGATCACCTTGGCGTCATAACCAAGACATGTGGCACCTCGGCTGACACGTCGGCGTCACCTTGGCCACGTGTTGGTACTCAGAAAATATATCCCCACAGAAAGCTAAGCTGTTTTGGTGTGCAATGTGTGGACTTGTGTATCTATTTTTATACGATCGTGTAATAATACAAGATTCATTAAGAATAAGTCAAATATTAACTCCTTATTATATAATATTTTCAATATTCACTATTGAGAGAATACTCAAAAATATCACTTAACACACTAGGGATGGTTTTATCTCATATAATTTAATTCTAAATCATGCTTTCATTTGTTGTTGCCTTCCGTTTGATTTATTTATTTATAGTTCTATTCATTTAAATAACATTGACTACAAAATCTTAAGTTACTATAAATTCCACATAAAGGTAGCTTTCAACCAAATTAAGGAACTTTAGATTTACCTCTTGGTTGTTTTATCCTTTTCCACATGACACAAGAAGTAAGGAGGAAGGACAATAAAGCCACTGAGACGGGGATAATCACCAAAAGCAGTTTCTTCTTCTTCTTCTCCTTGGAATCTGATCTATACTCTACAGACACCATCCAGTGAAAATTATAAATAAAAATTTAAAATAAGAATCGTGTAATTTACGTGTTTGGCCAAATTTATGTAGCCTAATGAATTATTGAACACAAATAACAAGAAGTGTACCGAGGCCAGCAGCTGTAACCCGAATATACAAAGTTTGATCACCAGGATTTGCGAATCTTTTAAAATCAATCAGATCCCCATACCAAAGCAGGCATCCACTTGCCCCTCCAGTAGTATCGGAGTTAGCATAAACAGTACATGAACAAGTCTTTAAACACTCCAATTCACATTCTAAGTGTCATACTGGTGTTCAGCGAAAACTCTAACAAATCAGGGATGATCATGCCTTTGAATGCCAAAAATCCTTGTCTATCCAAGCAGTTTAACGGGTATTTGCGAATGCACCCACCATTCCAAACCATCGTATTCCAATCTTGCGATGATTTAGGAATGTATCCATCCAAACAACTACATATGACTGCATTAGAGATTGTGCAAATAGAATTAGGACCGCACTGGCCATATCTTTCGCATGGATTACTAGGTATTGTATTAATGACAACCCACTCAAGGTTCCTATTGTTCTATATCACACATTGCATTGTCCTGGTGTAATTCTGTTAGAAATTGGGCGCCCATGTGGCATGACCCTTTGAACCTTTTGAACCTGAACCTTTTGAACCTTATTCATGCAAGTTTGAATTTGAATTCAAAACTTATTTTGATAACCATTTAGGATATCTATATCTATCATATCAATTGATATGGATAGATGGATAGATAGATATTGGTTGTTATATCTGATTAATATATTTTATATATAATATATTTAATAGATGAGATACATATATCAAATATACGTTATGTGGTTTTTACCTATAACCATTTTTCCCATACTCTCTCTCTCTGACTCTCTCCCACAAAACAACGATCAAGCCATTTTGCACTGTGACTTGTGTAGGTGATACTCATTTTGTAGTATCACTCCACTGCTGGGTTCATTGATCAGATTTTAGAAGCACGTGATTTACCCACGAGGTTCTTGTCAACAAGGTATGATTCTGATATTTTATCCGCTGCGTTATTATGCTTTATGATTTACATTGGTATCAGAGCCAATATGGGTATTTTTGTGCTTATTTTTATGCATTAAAATATGTGTATATTTTTATATAAATATATATACATGATATATGCATGAATGTTTATAAAGGAGGAAAATTTCAACTCCCATTAGATTGAGAGTGTGGTACACCTCATTTTTATATTCATTAAATGTGTTTTTTGATGCCATAAATATTTTTGTTGTGAAAAATGGAGTCCGGCAGTACAAAATTGAACCAGAAAACACCCTGGAAGGCGGAGCGTGGACCTCACGCGCCACCTGATGCCGTGGGAGGCTTCCACGTGCCTTCACGCGCTTCCACGCGCCTCTACGCGCCAGAGGCGCTTCCGACGAGCCTCCACGCACCTCCATGCGCGCATCAGCGGCGCTGTCCACGCGCACGCCCTCCGCGCCACACACGCGCGCCACGTGCTGAGCCGCGTGCCGAGCCGCACTTTGTTTTGTTTTTAAATTCTGAATCGCGTTAAATTGTCATAATTAATTCGTTATATCTTTGTTTTAAGCGTGGTTTGTACCGTTAGACTCAGAATTAATTTTTTTATCTTCTGTAAAATTTTGAAAATTTTATGAAAATAAAAAATATTTTTTCTGAAATAATAATTCATTATTTTTGGTTTAAAATGCATCTGATGTTGCATGATTAAGTTTCTGGGGCTGAATTTTTTATTGTAGACAACTGTTATAGTTTACTATTTATTGGTATAGTTATAACATTTTACCAGATTCTGGAATATTTATTTCTAATTTTATGTGTGTTTATTAGTTATTTAAAATTTCAAAAAATACTAGAAAATTTCAGAAGTGATGTAGTTTCTGTTATGACATAATTTGAATATTAAATACAGCATATTGTTGTTTTTTGCCTAGAGTTTCTAATATGTTGTAATTCAATTTATCTTAAATGATAATGTGTGGACTAGTCTTGGAATATTTATTTCTAATTTTATGTGTGTTTATTAGTTATTTAAAATTTCAAAAAATACTAGAAAATTTCAGAAGTGATATAGTTTCTGTTATGACATAATTTGAATATTAAATACATCATATTGTTATTTTTTGCCTAGAGTTTCTAATATGTTGTAATGAGAATAGCATGATTAATTGTTATTTGTTTAAATTCCATTATTAATTGTGACATAGCATGAGTTGGTTGTGAATCTACATTATGATGCTATTGTATGGAATTAGAATTTTTTATCATCTTTTAGACATGCCATAGTCAATGGGAGGTTATTCGGTTGAGAGATATCTTTGTAGATTAACTCCCAAAAACCAATATTTTGCGCATAAATTAAATTAAATTTTGGATAATTGTCACCTGTTGCGCAAGAGATGATTACAAGCATAGCGGATTTTCGATCTTGCAACTTGTGTAATATTGTCACTATTTCATTTAGATTTTTGTGGCAAAATTATATTATGCTAATCAAATTAATCCCAATGCGAATTTCTCTCTAAATTGACTTTGCTTAAGGAAGTTAATTGGTTGACCTAGACTTAGTAAAGATGTTCAAATGTGAACAATGTAATCCTATTCTTTAGATGAGCAAAAGTCATGGAGACTTTAGGTAAAACCTTAATTGAGCCAAAGTAAGGAAACATGACTCAAAGTCGCTATGGCTTTGTTGCCTTGTTTGGCACAATAAAAACTAATGTGTGCACTATGGTTAGCGGCATGCTACGTAGTTTTGGTTGACGAGTTTTTGAGTTATGAAATTAGTAAGCCCTCAATAGATCTGTATATGATCTTGACTATTGAGCTGCGCGGATTGACTTTGTAATTTGACTTGTAAATAATGTTACATCATTGGATGAAGTAACATTCAAGAGTCACGTCATCCAAGAAATGCGAGCTTAAATAAATTAGTCATTAAGTGTAAGATGAGCAGCCAGTATGAGCAGTGTTTTGCTCTCTACCCAATTATTGGGAGTGGATGGAGCAAAACTTCATGCACTATAATAGTGTGCATTGAAATATCACGTGAAGTTAAAAGATTAGCACTTAGAAGCTGCAAAATCTATTAACACTAAGTGAAGAGATTAGCGCTTAGTGGCTGCAAAATCTATTAGCATTGCCAACTTGTCTAAGTCTGGACACTTACTATTTCCACACTTGAGTGTGAGACATGAGGAGGGGCTCCTTTGTATGATTCCTTAGCTAGGCTAACGTTTACCACTAAGAGCAAACGTTGCAGCGTAGTAATGAAAAGGTCAAGGACGACAAGGTTGTTATGACTCTAAGAATTTGACGCATCGCTTGTGAGAGCATTGTGTTGAATTAGACTCTTTAGCCTAATTCGCGCTTAAGTTACTTTGGAGCTGTCATAGTTGATAGCTTATTCTCTCCTTCTTGTGGATAGTAGAATTAATTGCAAATAACTGTGAAGCGAGAAACAGAGATAGCAAGAGGAGTATCGTCATCTTTTAACTAGATGCAGTAAAGTGTATGGAGAATAAAATTGACTTGAAGGTGCAGGGGATTAGCACTTACTAGTTAAATTTGCGACTTAGGCGCAATTGATATCTCCATGACATCCCTTTTATGATCTAGTGAATATGACTTAGTCGTGAGTCATTACCTAGTTGGGCCTAAACCTTTAAAACTTGTCTTCGAGAACTCACACATTAAGATGATTGGAATTAGTTTATGACATTGCCGAGGCAATTTACTGTTTTCTTAGTTTAATTAAATTTGCTTAGTTGATTAGGCAATTTGTAATATTTAATTAGCTTGCGTAGTTAATTAATTTGTAATATTTATTTGATC